ACTTGCTTACTTGAGGTCTGCGCCCAAGACGTGATAAATTGTCCTTGTCTAACAGCCTTGCTTAAATAACTGACCTTCTCTTGCATCATCAGTACTTCATCTCTGAGCTCCCTCAAATAGTTTATGCAGGCTGGGGACCAATGGTAGACCAGAGAATCTAATGCAGCGTGCAGACTTGTTTTCAACTAAACCTATGACTAAACTCAATTTAACCCATTCCACGTTTCAGGGGGAGCAATAAATTGAATGTGAAACTACAACAAATATATGCTAACTGTTGCACTGTTGTCATTCAGAAATGAATCCAAAGTGCCATTAAAAAAAGAATCTGTCTACTTCCTTGTGCTCCTCTTGTCAATATTTACCGAGATACATTAACCTCAGGTGCATTGATTGCTTCAGCATGAGAAAGGTAAGTCAAGATTTGCAAATGACACATTTTCAGAGTGGGTCACCCAGGTCTTTTTTGAAAAAATGTTCCCTGCAAGAACTCACAATAACTGTGTTTAATATTGTTGTTTCCACACTCCCTCTTTGTTGACTTGGCATCTCAGGTGTAAGACACTCTTTGAATACAGTTATATATCCTTCATTTAAAGCAGTGCCTAGGCAACAAGGTGAAGCATCACAAACTATCCTTAATAGAGAGAGCCATCTGTGAGTATAATAAAGTAATTCTCAGCTGGGAAACAGTTATTTTCGCTATTTCTATCATAAAATACTTAAAGAAGATCAGCTTTGTATATTTTTAAAAACATTCTCGGCGGCCATTCTGTTGATAAGTGTTCATTTCCTAACTTGCCTTGTGATCTGAGAAATATTGAACGAAATCAGTTTGAGGTGCATTTCAAGTATTGTCCATATACAATACTTTGACTTTTGTTTTCAGTTTTATCAGGTCTGACATCACATTAAGATTGTAGAAGTCTGACTTCATATGATTTCCCTTACATTCTTTCTCCCCACCACTCTTGTAAGTTCACGTCTAATTTCATAAATATGTAAAAAGAAAAAGAAAAAAACATTATAACATGAGATTGCTACATGTTCTCAGGTGCCTTTATTATCCCGTTAAAAATCCAGTAGTGCATATTTATCAGTTTCTCAACTGGTCTATTTGCTTTTTTTAAAAAAAAATGGATTTCCCTTTTTGTTTTCCAAGGATGTTTTATCAACCCCAATATGGGATTAATAAGGGGAAAATGTCTTGGCTCTCTCTGCATCCTTGACCATCTATGTGCACTATGACTGTGTGATTTTGGGCTGGGGGAACATGCATAGCTGAGTGCATTGAACAAAAATGTTCCCCAGAATATGGCTGCACTGTGTGAAATCCATTCTATCGCAAGAACAGATCAAACAGCAGTACATGCTGTAATATTTTTCAAAATCTTGTAGATTTATAAAGTAGCATAAGCATGTGAGAAAAATGCAAGAATGCCCTGTATTTAATAGTACAAATAAACACAGAGATATGACTGAAGACTTGAATCCAATCCAAGAAGAAAAGATAGCTACAGCCTTCGCTTAACTAATTCAAGATTGAAACATTCCACATCTCCTGTAGGTGCAAAAAAAAGCTATGAGAAGAAAGTCCTAGTGGGAAGTCGGCCTGGTAATTTGTTTCAGATGTCCCTGATCCATGGGAAAAAACTAATTTCTCACTGAAACTGAAAACAACATGAAGGTGATAAGACACATCCTAATTTACCACTTAGAACAAAAATAAAAATAATTTTAAGAACCAACAAAAGTATTATGGCATAAGTGTCCATGGACCACAGTCCTCTTCATGACGTGTTATCCAGGTTAAAATTAAAAAGATGACACTGCTGTTCAGAATTTTAGTGGTGTTTTAAAACAGTGCATGCCTTTTCAGATATCTGTACTATATCATAAAAGGAGGGTTTTAAAAGTTTCAAACAACATGACTTACAGAATAGGGTAAGAAGGCACGGTAATCCACCTATTTATTCAGGTCTCTGCACTGGATAAAATTAAATATTTACAAACACTCCAACAGTGTGCAATCCTATGTGTACACACTAGAAGGCCCCAGTGAGTTTAATGAGATTTACTGTGAAGTAATCACTATCAATAAAATTTAAGAGTACTAAGATCTTCAAGGGTAGTGAATTGATACCTTGTTATGTATCTCCTCAAATCGGGGTGTGTGTGTTTGTGTGTATACCTTAGTGAAAAGGTAAGGTAAAAAAACTTTGCAGCCATGCTATGCGACAAAGATATGTTTTCACTTCCAGGTGGCTGCTATTTTCAGATGGGATTCCATCATATACAGGGAAATTCAGGCTGTGTGATTAATGTGGGTTTGATGCACACACCCCAAACTTGGTTCTAGAACTTAATCCATTCCAGAAGTCCGTTTGACTTCTGAAATGTTCGAAAACCAAGGCATGGCTTCTGATTGGTGCAAGCACCCCAGAAACAATAGCCAACAGCCTCATCGGACGTTTGGATTCCGAAAAACCTTTGGAAACTGGAGCACTTACTTCCAGGTTTTTGGTGTTTGGGAACCAAGGCATTTGAGAACCAAGGTACCACTGTAATGGAAAAATGTGGGTGAACACATGCTTTGTTGCTATAATTTTAAATAAGTGAAAATGCACTAGTGGCTTGGTCTATGTCTTGAGCTAGCACACCTCCCATGTTTGAATCTTGTTATCTTGTTTAGAGATAGAGCACCAGGTGCACTGAGTCGCCTAGCAAGAGTACAAGGCTGAAAGTCCTGACTCAGCCACTCTCACTTTACCTCAGGAATGTGCGTACGCACAGAGACTGGTATAAAAGTCAAGACTGCATTGCAGTCTGTGGTGGTTGTGGCGGTGCTGTCTGTGGGTTTTACAAATCAGTGTGAGCTGGCATGGTAAAGTGCTAGTGGATCTCTTTGTATACTTGTTTCTTTAGTTCTAAGATCAGAAGAACTGTATTATAGTAGTTGGTGTGTTTAGATTTGTCTTATGTCTTGCTACAATAAGCACTTTAAACTTTAATCTCAACTGAACGGGGAAGGAGTTTTCTTAACTTTTTGACAAGTTATGGGCCAACTGATTCTACAAGTCATAACATGTATGACTAAACTTACATAATCTCAATTGGAACGAAAGCTTAATATATTGCCAACAATGTCTTACGACAAACTTTGCAAAGAAAGCAGGATGAATGCTCAACAAACATGGATGCGGCCTAAGTTTCTCATTCCCCAAAGCCATACATTTTTTCACATTTAACCAAAAAGCCTTCCCAATGCTTTTGTGGGGTGGGGTGAGCTGATGTTTTTAGCTGATTCTACCCCCTCTTCTGTACTGAAGCATTCCTGCTAATGCTTTATATTTACTGTAGTTTTTAGGTACTGCATTATATATTTTTATGTAAGTTGCCCAGGGACCTTTGGGTTAAGGACAGGCCATAAATTCAATAAATAAATATATAAATATTATTGGGTCACGGTGGAGCTGCCTTGTAAGCCACCTACAACCCAGGATCTTAGCTTTTCGAACATTTAGCAAGGTGGTGGTGGGGAATAACCTGTGCTTAAGGAGATTTACACATTTGAACAAAACTTTGCATGAACTTTAAACTTCCTGCAGCCAGCTGTGAGTTGTGTGTGAAACGAAAGCCCCTTTCGCAGCATGCAGTTGAGAGGTATAATAAAACTCCACTCATTTTCTGGGGTGCTTGTAAATGGGCTGTTTTATGCTTGCACTATACTCCCTTTCTCCCTAATCACAGAAATAAGTTATAAAATAACGGGGGCAAGGGAGAGAAAGTGGAGAGGGGAAAGTAACATACTAAATTCCTTTTTTAAACAACTCAGTCACACGGCCCTTCAAGTCTCTTTCTTGATCTGTGGCAGTCCAGCCACACTGAACAAGAAAATGGAACCATGGATCAGTTTAACATCAAACTGTATACATCATATATAGGACTTAATTGAGCAAGGGGCATCTATATGTTTCCCAGACTACTCAAATATTTTATAGAACATGGAACATATCCTGTGGTTTCATCAGATTGTCTGATTTCTCCTTCCTCGAGAGCTGCATATATTTCAGTTCCAATGGTCCTGCAAATGAATGGACAAGTTAAAATCTGTTCATGCATTCTACCCTCTCAAATGTGCTATAAACAGAGGTGTAGTGGTCTGGTTTGGGGGGTGGGTCTGGGAGGTCAAATACCTGTTACTATTTCTTCAGCAGGGTCTCTATCTCCATCATCTTAGAGCTGACTAATCAGCATTAAGGGGGAGGTTTTAGCCACAGAGAAATCTTCTCACCCTTTGTGCTCTCTGGAGCTAAATGTCACTCTGGAAAAAGTGTGCAGGAAGAACATCAAGTAAATGCTCCAAAGCTAAGCATTTAGGAACACTAAAAACACAAGGTGCTTCAGTTTCAAGAGAACAAAACAGTATGCAAGTTCTGTTACAATGGATTGGCTGGGGCTGTCCCCAAACACAGATGATGTGGTGGGTCATGACATAGGGGGGAGGTGGCGTACTTCCACCCCTAAGCCGGAAAACTATTGAGGCCCGGCTGCCTGGCCGCAATGCCGTCCACCAGGTAAAAGGTGAGTGGACTTAACGGAACCGCTGGCTCCATTGGGTTGTCCCCCTTCCTCTTGTTCTCATGGATAGCAGTCCATAAGGTCTACTTTTCTGGTAGACTCAGGTGCCAATATATCTGTCCTCAGAGTTGTTTCCTTGAAGATTATACCTACACAGTAGCAAAGCTCTGGGCTCAACATTCCTGGGCATCCTTGTTTGAGTCTATATTTCCTTTTTTCACTATTTGTTTGAGTGAACTTTACTAGATTCAGTTTGAGTCTCTTGTTTGTAAAATATATGGGTTGCTTGCTTTTAATTACACTGTTTTTTAATGGATAGAGATTGTTGAGATGACAAATTACTTTAAAAATGTTTTTGCCACATTTCCTGTAGCAATTCACTCTCATTAAAAGCCAATTCAATTAAGAAGGCAGCATAACTATGTTAAGAGAAGAGGGGAGGGAAGAGAAGGGAAGGGAAGGAAAAAGAAGGGAGACAGACTTTCTTTCTTTCTTTCTTTCTTTCTTTCTCTCCCTCCCTCTCTCTCTCTCTCTCTCTCAAGATATACTGGGCCATGCATTTCTCTTTGGCCAAAAATGGATGCTGGTATCAAAGTTAAATGTTAGTAGCAACACCTCAAACTTGGCCCACTAGCAGACTGGCAGGCAGTGGAAATCCTGCAAGCAGGCATTATATGCTGGCAGAAGTTTGTCCCCACAAGCAACCTACGCATCACTTTCTGCACCTGGCGCAGCCTCTGTAACAACACCAAGGGCCACCCATAGAGCACATTGCAGTAATCCAACAATAAGGTTACCAGTGAATGAACAATCATGGACAAGCTATCATAATACAATAATTGATGTAGATGTCTTACCAACCAGTGTTGGCAAAAGGCACTCCTATTATGATCCCCTAGGAACTATGCAGCCTTTATGTTGCATCTAGGATAGGGTTGTTGTTTTTGTGGGGGGGGGGAATCAATTCAGTTTGCTTTTAAAGGTGAAGCTACCTAATCTGCACTTTCTGAAACAGGATGAAAAACAAAACACAGCCATTCTATGAAATTAGTACTTCTCTGAATTTTGCAATGCAGTTGTCCTGCCAAGTAATGCATACAAAAATGGATAAACTGGGATAAAGCATCCATAAAACTGGTAAACTAACATAGAGAAATGTATTCTATTAGGGGAAACATAGGGGAAATATGCTTTGAAGAAAATGTGTGTATTAGGAAAAATTCACACTGAAACCTCTGATTAATTTTCACAGGCACTTTAAAAAACAATTTGTGGAAATTTGGAAAACTAAACACAAGACTGGAAAAATGAGAGAAACTGAAAGAAACTAACATTGACAGATTTGCAGTCCCTAATAGGACCACCATCTTGGATGGAATTCCACTAGAAATTCTTCTGAAATATCTGTCCATGAAATTGGTTCACTTGGTACACTTGGCTTTTCCTTTTGAATTCTATGCATATACGGCAAGTGAGCTTTTGTCTTTACCAGAATGTTTGCTTGAATCCAAAACTCCTACAAAACATCATCTTCATTTATGTGTCACTAGGGTTGCCATATTTTAAAATTCCTGACACCCACAAAGTTGTTGAGCTTTTTTTTTTTTTGGAAACCTCCCCTAAAATAGTAACTTAAATCTTTTGGAGCTGTTTCCACTGCTTTTTCCATCGCGTTGCCACACATTTGGGTTTCCCCTGACATTTTGAAGATTTGGCAAAATTCCCCCCGATGCCATTTTTACACTCAAAAACCAGAACATGTCAGGAATTTTCCGGACGTATGGCAAGCCTATGTGTCACAAGATATATCCTATATGCAGAATAGAATGAGCCTTGTTTGGAAACTGATTCCATATGATTTAAATAGCAGAAGAAATTGAATGATGATGGCAGATTGGAAAAGAAGATTAAAAGAGCTGAGCGCTCAGCTTCTGACTCACAGCAAATAAGAGTGTTCCAGAATGCCAAAACCACAAGGATGTGGTGATGGCTTCAAAATTAAGTGTGATGGTTGCATAAGTGTTTTCAAGAAAGGAACACACACACACAACACTCCAGCAGCAGCACTGTTTCATTAGGAAAAGACAGGAAAAGCAATAAACAAACAGCAAGCAGTTTATGTGATGGAGAGGAGACTATGTACAGTCAGAGGCAGTGATGCTTCTGAATACCAGCTGCAGGAAGTCACAGTCAGCCTGGCCAGTAGTAGAGGATGATAAGGGTTTTAGCTTAGAAACATGTGGAGGCTCAGAGGTTAGTCACCTCTGCTGCAGAGGTTCTAGTCCAAGACCTGAACTGTTCAATGTGGGTCCTCTCTGAAGCTGCATTCTTGATCCAAGTGGTTGCTTGGATAATGCTATGAGTATATGGATAATTTCCCCCTCTTGTTGTTGTTGTTTAGTCGTTTAGTCATGTCTGACTCTTCATGACCCCATGGACCAGAGCACGCCAGGCACTCCTGTCTTCCACTGCCTCCCGCAGTTTGGTCAAACTCATGTTGGTAGCTTTGAGAACACTGTCCAACCATCTTGTCCTCTGTCGTCCCCTTCTCCTTGTGCCCTCAATCTTTCCCAGCATCAGGGTATTTTCCAGGGAGTCTTCTCTTCTCATGAGGTGGCCAAAGTATTGGAGCCTCAGCTTCAGGATCTGTCCTTCCAGATCTGTCCTTTCCCCATCTATACAGAAGTAATAAAGTGTCACACGCAACGAAACAAAAGGCATGGCATTTGGGAGCTCAATTCAAAACCTTGATTCATATTTTTCTATTAATTTCTGCTGACATTGGATTAGATGCTTTGTTAGCATTATCCTTAATTCTAAGAGGCAGCATTCTGCTATGGAGAAGTCTGCACTGCTGTTGTAAAGGCCTTTGTGTCGTTACTGAAAAGAAGTGGAGGATTCAAAGCTAAAGCCTGTCATTTTGTATAAAACAAAGACATGATCCATCTGAGCATATCACAGGGAACACATTAAGGAGCTAAAGCTTACTGTATCACTGAATAATTGTGGAACTTCTAAAAGATGTTGACACTTAAGGGATACTTGTTAATCTTCTACGTATGCATAACTCTGAAATTCATTACTCTATTCAAACATGAGCCTATGAGGATAATAAAAAGGCTAACTACACTTGGCATGAAAATAGACAGAAGACACACTTAGTCGAGGCACTGATCTCTCAGCTTTTTCCTATCTGCACTATGGGAATAACAGTCGTACCTTCCTGGGTTGTTGTAAGGATTAAAGGGGTGAAGGAAAAGGATCCCTGGATGGTTAAGTCCAGTCAAAGGCCACTATGGGGTTGCGGCGCTCATCTCGCTTTCAGGCCAAGGGAGCCAGCGTTTGTCTACAGATAGCTTTCCAAGTCATGTGGCCAGCATGACTAAACCGCTTCTGGTGCAATGGAACACCATGACAAAAACCAGAGTGCATGGAAACGCCATTTACCTTCCCGCCACAATGGTACCTATTTATCTACTTGCACTGTCATGCTTTCGAACTACTAGGTTGGCAGAAGCTGAGACAGAGCAACGGGAACTCCCCATCGCAGGGATTCAAACTGCCAACCTTCCAATCGGCAAGCCCAAGAGGCTCAGTGGTTTAGACCACATCGCCACCCGCATCCCTTTTGTTGTAAGGATTACTGAAATACTGTATGTTTGATGTGCTCTGAGCACTCTAAAATGCTCTGCAAATGCTAGCCATTATTGAATCATCATGCTTTACTTTCCCAGTGAAATCAGATAGAATGTTCAACTTTGACTAGTTCATGACTATTGTGATCTTTATGCTAAAGGGATTGTAGTGAGCTTGTGGAGAAACACTGCAGGTCTCTACTAAGGGCATCATCACTTGGGCCAACAGTCCAATTCTAAAGTCTAGCACTATGCTACCAGAGTCCATAGGATTGTGCTGAAGGGTGCTGAGTTTAAGACAAAAGTACAACTAGCCTCCATGCACCAAAATTAAGATGTTGTTAGCTGCCTTGATATCTTTTGACTAAATGCAGGATATAAATAGGTTAAATAAGATAAAATAGTAATCAAACCAGAACCTTTCCCCTGTCCCAGTGTCAGCACAATGTCGTTCTAGCACTTGCCTCTGGTTTCTGGGGGGCCATTCAAGCCTCTCACTTTGTGTGCCATTTAAGAGGTGGCTAGTATTTGTGGGCCAGCAATGAGGTGATTTGATAAATTGGTTTGGACCAACTACTGAACACTGGCAGTGACCCCTTTCCTAGGGAAGGTAATGGAGAGGGTCGTGGCATTTCAGCTGTTGTCCTAAACACAAAACGTCTGGACAGTTTCATTCTTGCACACCAAACTGCCATTTAAAAGCTGAATTCAGAGTGTCATGGGGGAAGTGGAACCTCAAACCCTCTCCATGTCAGCCTATACAAAACACTGGGGTTCAACAGTTAACCTAGAGAGGCCCCTGCTGGTATCGTAAGGGATGGCCACTTGTCCAAAGGGGAAGGAAGAATCTTGAGGGACAGGTGGTGATTTTCTGGGCCCTTCCTCTCCTTCTCAATGGCCAAGGAAATGATGGCAAGCTGTGCCCAAAGGTGCTCTTGGCTACTAGAATATTTGGGAGGGTTGACATTTCCTCTCTCTCATTGCTTTTTTAGTAACTGGCAATTCCACCCAAGGACACAATGGTACCAAGTTAGGGCTCATTACCACCATTTGAGAGGATAGCGATCACTTTCTGCACACCTGCATACCCTCTTTCCAGGGCTTCTGCTCTAGGATTCTGCCCTAACCCCTTCTGCTCAGATGCCCCTTGGTTCTCCTTTGTTTCTTCTCCAGGCTGTATTCTCCTACAGGTAGTCACTCCACTTGACTACATCTGCCCTACATGTCTTTCCCTACCTTAATCCACCTGCTCTGATGTGCGTATGTGTGTCTCTACCCAGCTACCTAAGAACAGAATCAGCTGAAACTGCTTGGCATCAATAATTTCAATATATATATTTTTCTTCTGAAACTTTCCAAAAAATCCAATTTTGTCCACAAGATTCAGATTCTGAACAATCTTAAGGTAGAATGCTATCTTTTTTATGTTTCAGCTCAGATTACATTGATAAATATCCACAGTGCCTAGTTAGCTTGCAGGAAGAAGCAGGAATTTACCAAGAAATCTCGGTTAGGTAGCCTGATATGGCTTCACAGATCACAGGCTGTACAAATCCGCAAAACTCAAACCCACAGGGTATATTTTATTTTATTTTCATCCTGTCTACAGCATCAGTTTTGCACAGAGTGCCTCCCATTCTCTTTCCATGGGCCCTTTTCTGCTTGGCTGCACAACTTCCTGAAGACTATAGATAATGGCTAAATGGATTTCTTAGTGCAAAGTGTAATTTTCTACTTTCCTTTCAATCATCACTTAATGGAAATGCTTCCTAATTTCTTGATCTCCATAGCATTCTCCTTTGCTTTAAGTAGCGGCTTTTATCAATGGAGGTGAAGAGCAAATTGTCTTATAAAGCTACAGTTATCCAATAATAATATAAAAAGCATTTCTTTGATAGTCTGAT